TCAAAATCAAAATCTTGGCTGATTTCAATGTGCTGTTGGATGTTGTCCGCCATTGCTTCTGTGGTTAACGTCACGTTGTAATCCAACTGCAGTTGAGTTGGACGGCAATTGTAGTTCAAGATGAGCGTTCGATGACGTATACTATCAAACTCACAAATAGACCAATCAGAGGTTAATGCTGATTTCCAGCTGACGGCGTCCTGTCCCAAGAAACCAGGCCTTAACAGGTCATCATAAGGAAGCGCTCCTAGCGGCGTGTGACGATGTTTCCTGTCATGCGTTGCTACGCAATTTTTATTCTGATGATTTCAGATTTGAAGTATTCGTATAATGCAACATGAAGTTTGTTCCCAAGTGTTATTGCATATCATCATCTTATCGGTATTACAAAAGTAAAAATTGGAGCTATTTAATTTATATAGATTCACTAGGATTGAGATAAATTACTAGAGAATTTATCATATTGTAAAGTACTTTATTTTAATAAATAATTATTGATATTTCCAAAAAAAAAAAAAAGCATTTTAATTTTATCCTTTTTTTTTCAGTTATAATATTGAAAGACTTCAAATATGCACTTTAACTTTAAAAATCGGAGAAAGTTAAAAAAAAATCCAACTGCGGGTATATAAAATGAAAACATAAATATATATTTTACTGAATTATTACAAAAGTTTTTAAATTGTAATTGTGTTCAATTTGATTCTCTAATAATAATAAATTCAAGTAAAACAAAAGACAATGCCAGTAAAATTTTATAACTTACTAGCTGAAAACCCGTTCTTCGCATGGGGTGAATAAAAAAAGAAAACAATCAATAAATCGGTATTGAGAAACAGAACGTAATCATGCTCAAAATTGAAAGGCATATACTGACACAATTAACGAACTTGATGGAAGAACCAGGTGAATGACATTTTTAGGGAAATTAATGCATTAGAGAAAATCATAGAAAGTGGTTGTATCAATATGGGTATGTTTAATGTAACAGAACTGTTTTTGCTTTCACTTTTATCTTAACATAACTTATCCATATTAGTTTTTATTACGCTTACATGATTTTTATTTCAATAAGGCAGTGGTAAATAAAATAAGGCAAAGAATTATTAGTGCCATCTTGTGATAAATTGGCAATAAAATAATTAGGTTAAAACTTCTTTTTTCGTTCTGAAAAAGGTCACTTACTTGGCTCTTCCACTAAGTTTTTCAATTGATATAGCTAAAATAATTTCGATTTTTTATTTAATATTATATGTTGTAATCTTCGGTGGTTTTACGTTAATGAAGTAAGCAAAGCTCGTTGTAGTTCATATCATTGGAAAAAAGATAAAATGTATTTAACATCACTTGATATGATGCTATTGCTCACTGCATGATAGCTAAAATTATCTCTATTAAATGATTTTCTCAGTTACATATCCCTTTCGAGTGGCCATAAAGTGCTTTATTTTAAAGTATAGGTATTAAAACTGCTTAGTGTTGGTGCAGTTTTAAGCATACAGATTTTATAGGGTTGCCCAAAACGCGAATAAGTATTCCTTCCATTTATTTTCGATTTTTAGTTCCGAAGTTACTTTTTTTATTTCAATTAATACATATTGCCAACATTAATTTACCATCTTTGTCGTTAATGATTGTATGGCGATTTCTTTCGGTTCTTCTAGACAAACAAATACCTTTACTCCATTTCTTTTGCTTTCTAGTACATAGCTTATTTCTTTTATTTCATATATTACCTTAATTAATTAAGCCTCATTGGCGTAATTAAGCCTTATTGGCTTCGATTTTTTATGTTTCTCTCATACGAATTAGTACTATTTTCCCATTAATTTTGCTTTTGAATACATAAATATTTTTTTCTCTTCCAGTACCGTTGGTTTCAAATAAGTAATTTCTTAGAAACACGTTTAAAAGTTAAAAATGCAAGTTAAAAATAAAATAAGAGCGCTCGGTATCAGACAAAGTATAAATTTGGTGATGTAAACCAGGCTTGCTAACAGGTAATGTTCATCGAATTTATTTGAAATAGCGAATATAAAATAATTGAATATTTAAATACGTGCAATAAACTATTCTTTGATCAAATAGAGTTATGAGCTAGCAGCTATCACACATGTTATCTTTAAAATATGTGAAAATGCATTTAAAACAATGGCTAACGCTTAACCAATCAGAAAACTCCATTTTGTTTTTCGTTCTTCCGCTCGGGCGGTTTGTTGTAGAATGTTCTAATGTCTGCAGTGACCTTCCTCTTGCTTTGAACTATCTGAATGCCAAATTTCAAGGCTTTCGGTCGGATGGTTTAGGTTATAAGGAACACCACACAAGCAGACATTCATTTATATATATGTAATTAATGAGTAATAATGTTAATAACAAACTTTTAAAGAAGAAAATACTTGCCATAATCGTTAGTTTATTGAAAAAGACACATTATTCCTATATACACTAAGACAAAGCAAATCAAATTAATTTTCAGTATAGTAATTGAGACATTTCTTTAAAACTAAAAAGACAAAATTCCACAGGAGCAAACAAAGTAATGAGCAATATTATATATAACGAGACAATAAATTAAAAAAATACATATTTTGAAATGGTTAATTAAATAAATAAAAGAAAATTGTTTAGAACATAAACAAGTCATGTTAATCGAAATTTCCATGTAAATTATAATAAGGACAAAGGTAAAGCATTTTTTTAAATTTAAAAATCAGATGTTATTACAAGAAAAAAAAAGTAAACATTACTGATAATGACTGTATTTAGAATAAAATTACCTTCGTAAACTAGCTAACTAGCGCATCAAATTCTTTTAATAGAAAAATGAACCCTAATGAGAACTGCAAAACAAAAATAAGTATTTTTAAGAGTATTTAATGATTTATGTAGTGCGAAGACTTATTGCAATCTTAAATGCGCTTTTTAATGTGTATGTTGCAACAGGTAAACGATAAGGTTTAAAGTTTAATTTTGAATTATTAGAACACTTAAGATGCTCAACTATCTGCCAGAAAACGGATGCAATCCGTATCCTTAGTTTGGACTTTTTGCCAAGATTTAAAAGTTTATAAATTAAAGAACCTCTTTTATATTACACAAAAACCTTTCCATAACATTTGAGAAAAAAAAATTAAAGTTGTTCACGTACTTCAAGCAGGATAAATTTTTCTTTTACTTGTGTTACAACAGCAGAAATATTTAATTAAATTTGGTTTGAACAAATTACAAGGGGCGCAAAGCCCAATAGACGATCGCAATACTAGAATGCGCCATCTGGAGAGAGAGATCTCCTATTTATTTAATAAAAATATTTTTTGAAATTTCCGTGATACTTTTCTTTAGAACTATGCTTAATGTAGTTTTCAGTTCCATATAGTTTTCCAATTTAAGAGATTTTAGTCTGTATGAAATTCGCGAGAGAAACTAACGTTCTTCCTTCCTCTATGAGTCTCCACACGTTAATGGGGAAAGCATAGGAAGTGTTGCCATAGGTAGAGAGTTCCAACGCCACTTGTAGCCCATTTCGATCGCCAATAACAGTGCTCCATTCTCTACCATAAATTTGATCGGTGAAAATTTGATTGGTGCAACGCAGAGGACAGGATTGAGTTTGATTCAGTAAGAATGTTCTTTAGGGAATTTTAAAAAGATGCATTTTGATTCATTTTGACCGTAACTGTTTCTAATCCGGCGCGTTTTTTGCTAAGTTTCGGTTTTGTGTTATTATTTTCTGCATGATCGGGCATAAACGCCTAACAAGCCTGAAAATTTATGTAATTGCTACAACCAATAAACGCATAAATTAAAGCTTGCTATTATTTCCAGATGGATCCATCAGATTTAGAATTTTTAGCTGAAAAAGAAATGGTGTCAATAATTCCTAATTTTAATCATGGTAAATTATTTTTAATTCGAGGTGATGTTGGACCTTTTGCCGCTAGTATACCTGTCGAAGTACCTTTATGGTTAGCCGTAAATTTGCGTCAAAGGCAAAAATGTCGAGTGATACCGCCAGATTGGATGAGTGTCGAAAAATTAGAAGAAATTAAACAAGAAGAAATCGATTCGACCATATTCACGCCCATGCCTAGTGAGCATTATAAAGAAATTTCGAGGTTATTATTTGATGTTGCTGTACCTGATATACCACATGCAGACGAAGTTAAGACTCTTATTAAAGATATTTGGGATATTAGAATGGCAAAACTTCGTAGTTCTGTGGATGCTTTCATTAAAAGTGGAGAATCTCACGCTCAAGTAGATAATTTGACTGCCTTCGAAATCAATTTCGTTCGACCACTTCTTACTACAGCTTTATTTCAATTACACAAATTCAGACGGGTAATTCTTGGCTTTTCTCTGATTTCTCCAATAAATCTTTCTTTTGTAAATGGTACCTTATCAAATAAATTTCTTAACTTATTTTGACTAAACAGATATTTAAATGGATATTTTGTGCTATCAATTTTTACTTGACAATTATTAAACTTGCTTATGAGATTTACGAAGCAGAAGCTAGATGTGTTTATTTTAAAATATTCTGTAGTATATATTAATATATTGTAACAAGAGTATAATTATGACTCATAAAGTATTTAATACTGCTCAATGAGATGCAGTTTTTGCTCACTTTAAACATCCAGTGCTGAAAAAGCACTGGTGAAAGTGCTGGCAGAAGAATATGGGCATTCAAGGGTTATGGTGGTATTTGAACCTGCCACCGTCAGGGGAGATTTCTGTATCATGATCTGCGGCAGAATAATCGTCATGTCTTGGAAACTTCCGGGCAGTGGCCCACGAGAAACTAAAAAAGAAAAAAAACATCACAGAAAAGGACTATCTTGAAAGGTATAACTCGTAGTCACCTCCGGGCAAATATCTACATATTTTCTTTTAAACATTTGCAAGTTTGAAATCTATTTGGCATCTTGGCAATTGTAGTTGGCTCGACAGATCACAATACGGAAATATCCCCCACCTTTCACGCTTCGCACAGCTTTTGGCGTGTGATACTGCTCGACTAGTAGAGCATAATAGTTTACTAGGTGGTTTCAATAAATTATACCCCTATGAATCTACCTACTTTTGTTATGATTTTCTCAGGTAGTGGACTAGCTTAGCTGCTTTCTTAGACGCGTGTACTGATATAAAATGTATATTGAATAATAGTTGTAGGCTTTAGAAAGCTTGTTTCGGCTGCAAAGAATGGGTGTACTCGTTTTTTAGAAATATAGTGAACATTCTCATCTAGTATAATGCATGCATGCATTTGTCTGTGGTGATAACGAGTTCTACCCTTCGAGTTGGTCACCTTCTGTGATGTTTTTTATAGTTTCTAGCAGGCAGCTGCTCTGTAGTTGCTAAGGCTGATGCAGATCATGATTCAAAAAGCTCCTCAATCCAAGTACTTGCAAGTTAATAAGAGAATCTTATAAAAAAAGAATGAAAATATAACTTCTCCTTAACTAGTAAAGAATGCAATTTTTAAAAAGTGGTTAAATTATAATTAGTTGGTTAATTTAATGTGGTTTAAATTTTTAATGAATTAAACAAATTTTGGATTATGCTTGCAGCAACTGCGATTGACAAAATATTTACTTCTCTGTTCTGGTATTTAAAAAATAAAAATATAATGTACAGTGGCTAACCTAGAAATGGCTGATACGATTTTTATTTTTCAAATTTGTTCTTTGGTAGATTTCCAAGCTATTATCTTAAACCATATGATTATTAAGTTTTAGTGCTAATCAGGCAATGATGCCCAAAAATTAAATAAAAACATCACGTAAAAGAGCAAGCTCTAAACGAAAAACTTGTGGTCAACATTAGCTTACTACAATTGCCAAAGTACCAAATAGATTTTAAACGTTTAAATTTAAAAAAAAATCATGTAGATGTTTGCTCTGGGGTGGCTATGAGTTAGTTCCATTCTGCGATGATTTTGCTTTTTAAATTTCTCACAGGCCGCTGCCCGAAAGTTGGGGATTATTCTTTCACATATCACTATATGGAAATTTCCCCTGTTATAAACTTGAGAGTAGTATTAATTATGGAAATTGTCGTGCATTTCTTGTTTGCCAGAAATATAATTTTGTTTATTATACTTTTCCTTCACAGGGAAGATCTTCACGCAAAATTTTGAAAACTAATATATTTTGTATGCATAATTAGTATAGTTAATTATCAACCAATTTTATGTTGTTTTTTTTTTAAATTCAACACATTATTATTGTAGTTAAAAGCATTTAATATTTATTTATATATTTGCTTTGGAAAATTGTCTGCTTTAAATTTATCGTCTTACCCCTGCGAGTGTTGGTTCTTGCTTTTTAAAATAATTTAAGTTCATGACTTTTTCAGCAACAATTTACTGTTTTTTTTTCCTTTGGTGTCTATATAAAAAAAAAGTGTATAGATGTGAAAATTTTTTCCAGTTTTTACCGAATTTGAAACGCTAGGAAGGTTTAACTAAAAATAAGCAAATTATTTGTTCCTTTTTTTTCCAGGCTGCTGTTGTTGCATCACAGAATGAAAGCCAAAGTCAGCCATCTGGAAGCGTATAAATTGTATGTGACTTGATTGTTATGACTTGAACTGTTTTGGAATTCTATTGGTATGACTCGAGTTCATCGATAGATCATCTCCCATTTGAAACAATTCATATTTCTAAGACATTCGTTATACTCATCTAAGATGCTGTGTACTTAAAAACTGTTATTTATTTTTTAAAAAAAATGTAATTATGTTAAATAATACTTGTTGCAGGTCTTTTAAATTCAAATGTTTTAAACTTCTCTGAATATGTGCTCTAATTACTTATAAAAGATGTAGGCTAAGCGTAGTTGAGAAAATGTCTAATGTTTATATTCTTTTTTCAATGATATATTTCATTTTAAAACTCATTTGTTGTTCATTGTAAAATAATGTTTCTTTTCTTTCTTTCTTAAGTTTATGAAGTTATCATGAGAGACATATTATACTTGCCAAGTAAAATAAAAGGTGTGTCATCAGGGGTCTGTCCAGACCGAAATTACTACCGTTTAGCGGTACCTTCACAAATTCAACTTTAGTAAAAAGGGTAGTTTCACAAATTTAATTTTAGGAAAAACGGTAGTTTCACAAAATACTTTTTCTTAAAATTTTATTTTTGTATTCCTTAAGACATGGTAAATCCATATTCTTGCCATATTTTTGTGTTGCATTTTTAAATATAATTTTTCACAAATTATATCTAAATTTTCACAAAATAGGTACCTCTCAGAAAAACCTATACAGACCCCTGGTCATATATATGCAAGTTTGCTGTCATTTATAAACATGCATCCATTTATTTTAATATTGTTAACTTGAGGGGCCTTATAAAATGATGATCGCTAGTGTCTCATGTAGTCTGTGAATTCAATAGAATAAAATAAGTGGCAATACTATTTGGCTTTTCTTTTATATGGTTGCTTCTTATGTAATTATATAAAAAAAATTAACTGACTACATAATGAACCTTTTCATTTATGTCAATTTCATTTTTAAATCTTTAATTTTTATTTTAGAGTTTATTTATGAAAAATATAATTGTTTCTAATGATCTGCATGGTAGTCTTCTTAAATTTTTGGGTAAAAGCTTACAATTTATTTCAATATTTTATTATGTATAGTTAAGCCATTTAAAATTAATTTTTGATCCATTCAAATAAAAAAGTGAGCTTGATTTATTTATAACATAATAAATTTGTATTTAGAAAATATATGATTTGTATTATTTTGAATTTTTTTTTTAATATAGCTACTTGTTGATAAACAAATTCGGAAATGATTGATAATATTTTTTAGTCCAGTTTTTATGAAATAACAAGGCATGTTCAGATTAACTGTTAATGAGAGCCTAATGAAAGTGAAGTGAATGAGTTTAAGAGTGCCTTTTTACTGAACCGTGCTAAAATTAACTGCTAATTACAGTATGTTAATGTGGCTAACAGACTCAGTGCTGACTTTATATTTAACCCTATTATTTTAAACTGGTGTTTAAGACTATTTTTCTGTAGTCTCATAAAAGAAATGTGATGTGCTCTCTTCAATAAAAGCTTGACTTATGTTACCCTTGGATGATTGATTTTATAGTACGAATATATATTTTATTGTCGACATTAAACAGCCTATCCAATTTTCAGTTTATGACTATCAATATCTAACTTCGTAGCTTTGTGTTTTGGAACCCAACCCTGAAGACAAGAGAACTCCTGAATCAAGCATTAGGGCAAACTAGCCTTCATGGAGGATTTTTTTTTTTATCAAACTATCACGCACTTGTATTACATGGAAAGGAAAATCATTCAATTAAATTATTTAGAACAAAGATTTTTAACAGGCCAAAATTTAAGGAAAATACAGCCAAACCTTCAGAAAAGACAACCTTTGTGTAGTGACTTCTTTTTTTTGTGTGGAAAGCACAGAATTTTCCCCCTTGACTTTATGTTGAAGAAAACCTTTAAGAGAGAACATTAGAACCTCCCCGAGAGACTGGGCCGATACAGATATCTCCGTATTAAAGGTAGAATAATATAATGCAAAAAATATATATAAAAACAAAACAGTAGATTTAAACGTATTCACAATATTTCTGAGTTCTTATTTAGAGACCTCTTTTTCACTATCTCTGAAAGAGATCGACAACCTCATGTTGCGGTCGGAGTGGACTAAAGACATTGCCATCAATGATTAATCTCTAGAGCTGAAAGTGAAATTGAAGGAAAAAAATATTTTAGAAAAAACTAAGTATCTCAAACAAACAAACCTCTTTTTTAAAATCTAATTAACATTTAAATGCAAGCTTAAACAGCGTAATTATTTAAATCAATTGGTAAATTATTTTTACACGTAATTAAATAAGCGACGGTCATTGTTATTGGCGCTAAATTTTATTCATCGATCTAGTTTTCCTGACGCTAACTCAAGTGGCATTTCCACATCAAGAAAATGACAATAAAATTCATGTATCTAAAAACAAGCAATGTCCATTTTACTGTGGAATAAAAAGTGGTCGCTGCCGAGAGGTTTCCATGTATTTATAGACTAAAACATTGAACTGAACAGTTCTTTCACGCTTACTTGTTGGCTGAAGTTTTTTTTCTTCTTCTTCTTATATGTTCTTGTATTTTGTTTGAGTTTTCTAAAATTCAAGTTTATGTAGTGAAATATTGCCTCAAACTCTAACAAATATTAACTTATGACATAGTGGTGACAAGGTAACTCGCCTCGCATAGTTTCTCTGTAGAATGGGGCTTACAAAGTCGAAGTGTTAATTAATAAATAGTTGGCAAAATTTATTCTAAATAATTTTAAATACAGTATTTTCCTACAATCAATTCTTTTATTGTTTAAGTATAAACTAAACAGTAAAACTGTTTATTTTACTTATAAAGTTCAATAAAAGGTATGAGATAATTTCAAAAATTTTGTAGATTAATAAGCTAGAGCTTAAAAAAGGGATAGCAGTTTATTTTCTAAGTTATGAAATGCCTGTCTTTCTTATTTGAATTATATATTTTTGTTTTAATTTCCCTGTAAGTATTCATCCTTTTTAAAGTAAATATTATTTTCATTTTGTCTTCCAAAAATAAAATTGCTGAATTTTTAATTTATTCAAAATTTAGTTAACTAAGTTTTGAAACGTAGTTGATTCGAAAATAAGATGTAAATGTTTGCAGTAATTACAAAACAGAGAAAAAATAAGTCTCTGGGCTAAAATTGTAAATTTAATAATGATGAATTTATTGTAAATTCAGATAAAATTTTTTACAAGATCATCCATGTTGTTCGTGTCATGGATGAAATGTAAATTAATATTCTAAAAAACTTAGTAAAATAACTACACTTATGAGTTTCAAGCTTTATTAAATGGCTATTACAAACATATGAAGATGACTCGATCAACAAGCCAAAAATATTTCTGTGCACAATTTAAAACACAAATATAACATTTCCGAATAAAAAAGGCAAAAATGTAATAAATACATCTTGTGAATGGAAATTTGTAAACAAGCACCATCATAGGAACTAAAAAATGACTTAATACTGAATGGGATTTAGTAAATTAAGTAATATAAAAATATGAGCAAACATGAACACTAACTAATGGCAAGGAATGTAAATAAAGTACCCGGTCAAAATAATTAAATTTTGATTTTAATGATGAAATACATTGGTAAACAAACTTCTTAAAAGTAATATATGTAAAATGAAATGACTCTATATAATTTAAAACTTTATAGACATACTCTAACATTATGCATAATATAAAAAATAAGTTCTATGGACTAGAATTGCATAACAATTCAAGATTGATAAAAATAAACAACATTTTGATTAACACTTGATAGAAAGTCTATACTGTTTGTATTTGAAATAACATCTTATATAATATATTCGTTTTTCTTAAATTTAATTAAGTCATCATTAGATCTTTCACACTTAAGCAATAATTTTTTAAAAATTAAATATAAAAGGAGTAAAATTATATTTCACGTGCAAAGTAATGCAATATTCAGAATAACTTGATTTCTTACATAATCAAAGAGAAATGGAAGCATGCACAAAAATAAAGTTCTCTACAGGTAGAAAACTTATTATCTTCAACCAACAATATTTAAAATAAAAGAAGAAAACGTGAAATATGAAGTGTAAATTTACAAATAATTTCAATGGTATACACTTTTAATATTACATAGAAGAGATACATAATAATAAATTCCGAATACCAGAATGCAAACAAACCAATTTTAAGTTTTAATAAAGAAAAAAACAACAATTTTAAGGCCCACTGAGCCGTAAAATAATGCGTTAATAAAGTTATAACAATTAGTAATCACAATAAATAATTAAAAACTAATATAAAAAATACTAAGAATATTAAAATCACCTTTCTATTTTTGAGGTAAATACTTGAAGAAAAATATAAATGCATTCGCAGAATCTTTAAAACAATTTAAACATTTTAAATGGAAACAGAATAGAAATGTTTATTGCTTTTTTTGTGCCATACATAGCTGGGCTAAAAATGCCATCAAAAATGTACTTTCAAGGTTTTTTAACAGATTAAGTTCATAATTCTTTTTTCTTCACCCACATATCACCAGTATAGTTGATCTCCAGCATTTTTTCTTTTTTACAGTATTTTATTTGGGTACTTTGAGAATTACCCCGTCGACTATTTTCACCAAACCCGATATCACCGAAAGGTATCTTCTGCGCCGATAGCACTGAAAAGATTATTATTTAACTGCGGAACTACCCCAAAACACTCGGATTCATATTTAAATTTATTTATAAGCCGGCGACTGCACAAAGATAATAACTTGTTTGTTTGCGCTTTAAAAGCTATGAATTTTTTGCCATTGAAATGATTTTTAATATGGTTAGATTCAAGAATAATTCAATGTGTAATTATTAAAAAAAAAAATAAGGTTTTTACTTTGTTCTGATTCTTTTTATTACACTTTTTTATCACGTATCACACTTAAATTTTTTGTTATTATTTTTTGATAATTTTAATGTGTTTAGAATGTTTATTTTAGAAATTTTTTTTCATTATGATGGGGCCAAAAGATTTGAGCATTTTCGCCAGCTTTGAGAGGTCGATGGGATAATCGCAAAGTACCTTTATTTGAAATGCACATTTAATTTTAACAGATGAAGGAAAAAATTTCAATTTTACTTAGCTTATACAACAGTGAGTAAAAATGAGCTCAGAATTTTAAGTTTAAAATACTCAGCAATTAATTTAACTATTTATGCATAGTTCAGTGATGCTATATGTTGTTCAGCAATTTAGATATATGAGCTCTACATGTATAGCACAGAATCTGGACGAAAATTTTTATAATGTATCAAAAGTCTGGAATTTAACACTTAAATGCCACCTCCAAAGTTCCCATGCACAAAATAAGATTATGCTAATTTAAACCTTCAAAATTTTCTCCATTACAAACAGTTACTATTAGCAAAGCTAGAGTGTTTCATTTTCAAAAAACTTTTTTTTAATACGAGCGCATTATTTTTTTTAATATATTAAAAAATAAAAATTTTTTTTAACGTTATGCAAACTTTAAATTAGAGAGGAATTTTGATCTATGAATCAACAATGTTTATGTGAAGATGACGTATGTACAACAAATGCTTTTTCATTGTTATTTCTTATTTTTAAGTGCACTTATTCCTTTCAATTTTGCTGTTTTACTTTTGTTTATCAAAAAATTAATTTAGCAGTCCCTAAAAATGTTTTATAAATAGTTTATCCTAGGTTACAAAATTTTTTTAGTATGCTTAGGTAAAATTTACCTGATTTTTTATATGCTAAAAAATTAATTTCTTTATTCATTACATACATATCAAACTAAAAGTGAAAATAATTATAAAGTAGTGCTAAAACATAACTATGGAGATCATAAAATATGAACAAATATTATAACAAAGCTCACTACAAATTTATGTAGCACTATTTAATTTTAAACAGCCGTATTAAATGCTTTTCTAAATGACTTAGTGTACAATATTCTTTTTAAATTATAGACTCTCTATGTATATAAATAATTAAATGTTTTTAAAAAAATGAGTAATCTAAATATTAACATATTTCCACTTTTAAATGGTGCTAATACTTTCAGTAAATTATTCAATACTATTAGAACATTAAAAATTGTTTGAACAATTTATAATGTTTATAAAGCTTTAATGTCAAAATCCCAAACCTGACATAAACTTGCTTAACTGTCCTTTACCATCTTTGAACTATTAGTATAAGATCGTAATTGAAAGAGTAATTTTAAAATAAAAATATCTTTAAAAAAAAATGTGCAATTTCAATTTTAAAAATAGTTTCACATTTTGGAAGTCATATTTACACTCCAACACTTTTGATATATCTTGTGCAAATATGTAAAAATTTCATAATAAATCTGAGTAAAAAAGTCTGAAAATGGTTTTGATATTTTTTTATCACTATCAAAGCCAACTACAATAAGCAAATTATCTAGTTTAAATATACCTCCGTAAGAAGCTCCCTGAAAAATTCTAAAAAACTAAACACTTTCATCATCGCACAACAATGAAAAATACTTGAGTGGTTCACTTGGAGAAAGATTAACTTTGAGTCAAATCACAGCTTTGCTTGAATAGAATACACTTTAGGTTTTTGTAAAAACTCTTTCCACCAGGGAGCCCGATCTAGAGAACCAGGGGTTTGGATGATTGCATCATACAAGTTCTTGTAAACCTAAAATATTTTAAGAAAAATAAGTGATTTATAATAGTGTTCTTCAAATTTTATTCGTTAGAACCCTAGGGTTCCACAGAGGAGTTCTAGAGTCAGTACTTTTTATAACCGGTGATGAGTTATATTTAGATCCAACCTATAATTTCATAATTTATTTAATCTTTTGGATGATGCCAATGAAATAGAAATGCCATTTCTTTAAAAGAAAATATAATATTTCTAACAACAATATATTGAATAAATTTCGACATTCATAAAATATTGCAATAGTATTTCTTATTGTGCTTTTCAAATCAAAATAAAATAAATAAATTCTTTTATAAACAAATATGGTTGCCTAATAACCATTTTCAATGGCTGGAGCAGTTCTTTTAAATTTTCATTTCGAAGTAAACCATAATTTGGTTTATTTTATTCATTTTCAGACTATGTAAATACACTAAAAACAAATTTATAACTAGATATAGCACAAGGACTGCAAATTTCTGTGGGACATAAAACCTACGTTTTAATCTCCATTGAAAACGTACAGTTAGTTTTGACTTTTACAAAAGCTTCATATCCATTAACTAATTTAATTAGTAATTAAAAATGTGTCTGTAAAAAGTAAATTAAACTATAACTTGATTAAATAAAAAGTAAATACTGACAAAATGACATCAAGTATCAATAATTAAAAAAAAAATTTATTTTACTAATTGTCTTGCTTGTTATACTAGTAACCTAAAATACATGCTATTTCATGTAATTGTAACAATTATACTCTTTAAAATTTAAATGCTTACAGCAAATGGTACATTAATGCATTCAACATGATTGGAAGAAGGACACAATGTTTAATAAAAAAGCTTTTATCTATAGAAAGATCTTTTTGAAATACTGAAGTGAAATTTGGTCTTGTTAATATTGGAAAGTAAAGAATTAACACTGAAAAGGCCAAAAGATCACAGCTTTCAAACAAAATAAAACATTTCTTTAAAAAAGATTTTCTTTTATTTGTTTTTATTATAAATCTAACAAATTTAATTCCTGTTTATTAGATGCAATAAAACCGAACCTATTTAGAAAAATCAAAACGTTTTAACAAGTGGAATGTATGAACTGTTGAGAATCCTCGTTTCATTCTTTTTCTTATCGTTACAGATTTAATCAAAACACTGTAAGTTACTCTACTTACCAAACTTTCACTTAATCCAAAGGTGATAAAGACAAGTCTGCAGATAATTTTAGAAACAACGCTTTGTTGCTGATTTTTTTTAAACTAATTTTTAATAATAAATGCATAAATATCTATTAGAAATCATTCATTAAAAATCATTGATTGATATTATTAGAAACTTAAAACCCTAGTTTTTGACCCTGCTTTTTTTGTTCTATTTAAACTTCTACTTAATTCTAAACTGATTAAAACATGATTGGATAATTTATTAATGGAGTGGGACAAAATATTTTCAATGTACAGAATTAAACTTCACAGAAATATGAACACAACATAAATTAACTAAAAACATGTGAAATTCAGCAAACTGAATCAGGTGAAAATTGAATATTCAATTGCAGTCAAAAGTATATTACTGATTTCGATTGAAAAATTCATATTTCATTTGTTGTTTTAATTATTATTATATCAGTATGATTATTTAATTATAATCATACTGACTTAATTACTGATACTTAACTTACATACTGACTTAATTAACAAATAACTGGATTAATTTGAATTGAAAGCTGGAACAAATGACAAAAGACTTTACAAAACATAAAACTTAAATTATAAAAGTAAATTAGCAAAACCAAATGGTGTTACAAAGAGAGAAAGGGGGGGGGGATCAATATAGTAAACTGATTAATGATTTGATGGCAAAGAATAATTATTATTAAAAAAAAATGATAATGTTCTGTTAGTTCTTAATTTTTATAAATAAAATTTTTTTTAATTTTAAAATTTTTATGACAAAAAAAGTCTTTGCATTAATCCTATGTCTTTCCAGCTAAGATATAATATATAAAATTTATTTACCAGAGTAAAAAAAAATATACATACCTGTCCATCAGATTTTCCCAAAGCAGAGTTTAAAACAAAATCAGGTGGCGCAATAACGTCAACCAGTGACACTGCTTCATCTTTAAGTTCAGAGCACAATCGTAATATAGCTTGTTTTATTATTGTGCTATGATGTCTCATCTCACAATAGCCTCCTAGAATTACAAAAAACCCACAATATATTATTGATAATTCCTTTCATTTCAATAAACAATTTGATAAAAATATACCATTAATAATATTATCTTTTAATCAATTTGAATAAACTACTTCTCATTAAAATAGATAACTATTTAATTTAACACCTTATAAAATTAATATAATAAATATGATTAAACACTATATGATTAAATAAAAAAAAACTCAGACATGCATAAAACAACCACCACGATCAATACAGAGGAGTGAAATTTTTTTTGTTGCCTTATTTTGATAAAATTAACAAGCAAAATAACTACGAAGAAAAAATAAATAAAAAAATAGGTTGTGTTATCTCAATACATAATTTTAATAGACATGCAAACAACAAAGTCATAAATGAGTAGATTAATATTAAACACGAGACCTGTTTGAGAAAGATATAAGAAGAAAAAAAAGGTGCTACAAACTGTATCTAATCTAGATTCAGGGATGTGGAGCAGAAAATGTTTGACGCTCCAGCTGCTGCAATTTTAATATATATTTATGCACACTTTTGAGTTTCAAATTTTAATCATAAAAGAAACAAAAAAAACATAGAAACAGCTTACATAGAAAATACAAATTTAATTTAATTCACTGTTGAGTTATTTGTTTATTCTTAAGAAAAGAATTTAATAAAATAAAGTCTCCTTAATATTTGATCTAAAGTCATTATAAATGTATTTCAATGCAATGATTAGTCTTTCTACAGCAAACTGGTAGACTGAAATGTTGTTGCAGATGCAGTAGGCCTACTAAACGTCAGCAAGATGCAATGACATTGCTGGAGCTTAGGAAAATTTAGAGCTTCAGGTCCAGCTACAGAGAAAACAGTTCGGGAGTGCTCCGGCTCAAACCCAGTCTAGCATATTCAATATGTGCCTTTCATGCACTAAAAAAAACTGACACACAATACTAAGCAAGCTAAAATTAAGAGATAGAGCAACTATGAAACAGAACTTTTTTTTCAGGTTTATAGGCTAAAGATTATTTTTTTTCTTTGTAATTAATGCCATGACTATTTTTAACAATACAAAAAATACAGTTTTTAAAAATTGATCTTTCACTCTAATTTAAAGCAAATTGATATTATTTTAGATACTATCAAAGACTAAAGTATCATTAAGTACTTTTTAATAGCTAAAACTTTCTTCTTTTTCTTACCTTCATGCAGCACGGTGAAATAATCTTGTAACCTCCATAAACCATATAAACATCCTAATTTGTGCAAAACATCAGAAAGGTGTGGGTCAGCAGCCTCTTCAATGATAAAGTTATAGAACTTTTGGAGTACAGCATGCTATATTAAACATAAAAAAAAACTTATTTTCTCATGCATTAATATAAAAAAACAATAACTTAATTATTTTGTAACATCCATTTGTTTTACAATATTTAAAAAAAAATTAAAATTCTTAAATTCATAACATCAAACTAAGAGTAACTGACAAACTCTTATAAGATGAAACTTAACATAAACAGAAAAAATGAAAAAATATATAATGCAAAATACAGACAACATCACTCACTGCTGGCCTCAATAGAAAAGTCAGTTTTTAAGAAAAACTATAATCAACCACAATGATAAATAATATAATCAAACAAGAATATCATAAGTTATATTCATTTGCATTAAAAACAAGAAGCATACCATTTGGGGTAGTAATATATTTACCTCAAAGAAAACTAAAGACAAATCTCTGCAGTAAAACACTTGGTTATTGCTTTTTGCAAGAAAGGCATCATTACTATCTGATAATAATTCGTCATATTTTTCGTAACTTTGCTGCATGAGATAGCATACCAGCCATTGAAATGCATCAATTAACACTGAAATTGAAACAGAGATAAGTAAAAATAACAAAACTTATATTCTTAATAAAGACTGTCAATACAAGTTTTTTTTTGAAGTATTTATTCAGGATTGCCACCCAAATCTGGAAAAAAATTCCCTTTAACATATTATACGCATTATATTAACAGGAAAAATATAATCACTTGTGTAAGCTGTATTGGGCAAACTATACTAGTTTCAATTGCTCGAAAACATAATTAAAACTAATAATGCTATAGTGAATAAAATAAAATAGTATAGCTGAAATATTACCCTTAAATATCCCATAGATTGCAAGTCAAATTTTTATTCTTATTTTCCTAGTTTTTTAAAAAAAGAGAAAATAAGAAAAAATATTTCCTGTTTTTTACTCAGTCTCTAAAGAAAAACTCAAAATTCCCTGTGAAGTGGCAACCCTATAATTTATATTAACTGTGTGTCAATTGTATAATAAAGTATCAATAGGAAATAAAACAAAAGTCTCATTGAAATTTTCATAAAGGAGAAGGGAAAAAGAACTAAAATAAATAAATTAAAAAAAAAAACTGTTCAGAAAAAAATTCCTCACCATTCTTTGTTTGGGGAGGAAGATTTAGTCAGTTTCATAAAATCAATTGTGGAATTTTAATCAATATAATAATTTACCTCGTGGTTGCAAAGAAACAAACTTCAAAGAAAACACTATAGAATATTCACTAAGAATTATTATAATTTCAAAACTTAATTTTTATTTCAGCTGAAACACTTAAGAATCATTGATTATAGCCAATAGATAAGTTAAAGTCAAAAATGAAAACTATTTTTTTTTTTAAATGCTAACCTTTCATATTCAAACAATCTTTTACTTCTCGAGCATGGAATGTTTCTCCCAGAATCTGATCCATGTGATCCAGGAAGCATATGCTCTCCAGATGAACAAACTCACAACCCTCTACAATTCATGTAAACAGAAATAAAATTAAAACTATGCATGTAAAAATTCAAAAAGGAAGTAGTGGTACACATAATGATTGAATTTATTTCAATGCAAAAAGCTTTAATGTATAAATAAGTTATTACTTGTGAATAGAAATTTTTATTTTTTTTATTTAAATACTCTGATTTGTTGGAAAAGGGAAAAAAAGCGATAAATTAACAGGCAATATAACATGAAATGCACTTATCTGTGAGTGACAATAACTAAATTTAAATAAAAATTTACATGTTGTACCTTTGAATACCTTTCAAAAAACGATTAATGAAATCTTGATACAATTAATGAAATTTTGAAAGAAAAAACATTTATGAATCCCTTCAAAGTGAAATCAAAATGCTTCTCAGTTAGCAATGCTAGAAATAAAGTGAATGTAATGTATAAAATAATTGAATAGCACATGTACTAAATGCTATGTAGCATTCAAATGCAGAGAAAACCTATAAGATGTATACAAAGTAAAAAAAAATAATAAAGTGTTAAAACTTATCTCAAATAAAAAAAAAAGATTAAAAAAAGGAAAACAGAGAAACTCAGGATTTTGGAATCCATATTTAATAATACCTCCCAAATGAAAAAAAAAAAAATCTAACAGATTTTGAAGTATATTTGATAGTTAAATATTAAGACACATAGTATTAATTTTGATTAATACTTTAACATCTGCCCAGTAGCCACTAAATCACACAAATCACTATAGGTTTGATTTCGGGACATTGTAGCATAGTTGGTAGCAGAACTATTAAAATTATTTTCATTTCTGTTGTGAGATAAAATAGAAAACTCATCCCATTGTTCCATTATGTGGTGTACTACTTGCTCACAGACCTTGAGGGCCATAACCTAAGTATTGAATAATATATATGCTTGGCACACCCTGCAACCAATAATTGGCATCATTAGATGATATAGTAGATGGCACAGTTTATAGTTTAAAATTCCTACACCCATTTAAAAAAGGATAAATATATTCTTAAGGTTAAATAATTATTCAACTTGAACTATCACTTATATAAATTACCCTAACATAATAAATCTGTACAAATACTTAATGTACAGTGCACAAAAAAAAGGGCCACCCTGAATAACTTTTGATATAATGATCGGATCTTCATGTTCTAGGACTCAAACTTAATGGCTCAAGGGGGTGACCTCAAATTTGCTAATTAATTGTGCAGACAATTTTTTACTATAAGCTATTTTTTGCATGAAATTATCTTAGGATAAACAAATTTTATAATTGTGTGCAAAATTTTCTGAATTTGCTTAAAAATTTCTCGAAATACTCAAAAAGTAAAATTAACATTAAGGGGTCCTATTTTTAGAGATCTCTAATAACCAAACTATTGGACCATATTTCTCAGATTGTGACTACCCTCTATAGTTTGGGAGTCAGAAATCTGAATCCCTCAACAAAAAAAAAGGTATGTTTATTGACAGAAAGTATGTTTTTGGGCATGATTATGTAGCTTAAAATATCACCTGTACTTATTAATTAGCATATTTCAGTTCACCCTCTCGAGCCATTAAGTTTTGAGTCCTAGTATGTGAAGATCTGTTCATTAGATTAAACGTTATTCAGGGTGTTCCTTTTTATTTGGTGCATTGAACAACTAACTATTTAACACTAATTAAATTATTACTTAAAGATAACCTAACAAAATGAATTTAACACTAATAATCTAATCTACTATCTTACATAGAGTAAATTAAATATTAATTTACACAACGTAAATTATTATTTAAGACAACAAAATAAAGTAAATTATTAAAGATAACTATAGTTAAAAAAATACCCATGTTTTTAGTGCCACAAAAGAAAAATAAATAGATACTGCAAAACTAATAGATACTGCTTTGTTAGAAGTCAGTCATATTAAATTCAAAATAATATTTAATAAATAGTATATTCAAAATTGCGACAATTTAATTACCTCTTTTCTTCTTTAAGAGACCGAGTAAATAATTGCTTGTCTGTTGAAGTAAGACATTATTATCTCCTTCATACGTACAGTTTGCATCATTATCATTTCTCAGATGGCCGAATCCACTAGCTTAATAAGAACAAAAAAATTTCTAAGATGAAAGACAGATAGATCATGCAATAATTTACTAAACATTACTAAATAGTTCATAAATTTCAAATTCAAATTGTATTTTTACCTTGCAAGTAACCGTGACCACCACAAGCTTCACGGCATTCCTGAATAGCATCCCTGGCTGCCCAAGTAATGACAGGCTTTGCAGCAGAACACAAAGCATGTAGCTCACCAACTTGATCCGACTTAAAAATAAAATGAGTACGGGAATCAATATAATTTAAAAGCAGAAAAAATATAATTACTATAATCAGTATAATTTAATACAGAAAAAAAAATACAATTACAACCAAATAAGAATTAATGGTAACCCAATGCCATATGTTTATGTTACTGTGAATGACCGAAATCAAGAGTACATCACATGTCAACAATCACATAGTCTCTTTGGTGCATGTTTGAAATAGTTGTATCAGATTTGATATTAATTTCGTCAATATTATATTCAATCGATATTTTAATATTTCCTGAAGATAGATTAGAAGAAACATCAGTGTTCGGAATACCGGGTAAATGTATACCGTGTAGTGGCACTGAACCTTAAAAAAATATCAGTGTAGGGTACACCAAGCAAATGTATACCAGGCAGTGGCACTAAGCCTTCAGTGTAGGGTATACCGGGAAGTGACACTAAACGTTAAAAAAACATTAGTGTAGGGTATACCAAGCAAATGTATACTGGGTAGTGGCACTTAACTAGACCTAGTATATATTTCGGACATTTACTGAAGCAACTATGTGGTTGTCAACAACCACCAATTTCGGTCATTTACAGTAACATATATAAAACATTATTCTGTTACAAAATTGTGTTTATTTGGAAACTCGCCAGAAAAAAACAATATTATGTATAAAAATTAATAAATAAACAGTTTACAAAATATATTCATATAATAAATGCAAATTTAACAACAAAAAAAAAACTAATAAAACTTTGCTTACAAGCTCAGAAGACTTTTCTCCAAAAATGATTTTCATCTGTATATTTATCAAGTCGTTGTTATAACGAGACACAAAATGATACAAAGTATATGCAGCAGCTAAGTATGGTAGTAGTCTGTATTGCTAAAAAAATACAATAAATATTTTCTTTTTAGCATAATGGGCAACAAAAGTGCTTAAAAATATTTTTGTTTTCATTCAATTGAATATTAAAAAAATTATTGGCAAAAAAGATCTTAATAATCATAAAATCTGAAGGAAAAAAAAAAGGATTTCCAAACTCTTATAAAAAATTTTTTTGTAATGATGTTGATTTAGTTTTTCACTGCAAGCAGCTCATCGTGAATGAATGTTTTTATATTGATTTAAGTCAATAACTTGGCTTTCTTTATGTAATGAAACATTTCTTACATGAAAAAGGTAATCTATTTCAACCATGCTCTGCTTGTTCAGTAACAACATCATAATTTACCTTTTAATTCATAAGAGTACATTTCAAATTTAAGAAATGCATGTCAAAATTTATACTTTCATGATTTTTATTTCATTTTTTTTTCTTTTTTGACTTAGTTGTCAAACTTTATCTATCTCTGAAATATTAGTTGTAATTAGAAAAACATCACTTGAATTAATCAGTTAAAAAGCATACATTAAAAAAATAATTAAAAAGAAACCTTACGTCACACGTAGTTGATAAACATTAAGCGTGAAAGAAATTAATTTTCTATTCCTAACTTGAGGAGCTACTCCTATTTTAATGATTCAATCCAACCAATACATAAACTTACTGATCTGATAAAGGTGAGATGCATTTAAAGAAGGAAAAACTTACATGAAGCTGATACTCTAAAATAGGTATTTCTTCTTGACCTTGTGGACCAAACTGTTTACGTATGGCAGCATATCGTATAGCTATGGGTAGACACATATGCAAGTTTGCAATACCAACACTAATTATTCCCATTCTGCCCAAAGATAAAGAACCTAGTGATGCACCAAATCTCTTATTTGGATCCTGTTAAAACAGATACATTAATGACTCTATATACTAACAGTTTCTGACACAAATCATTTATATTATTTAGCAAAGTATTCAATTTTGCACTGTTTACAAAAGTTCACAGTTACAGTTATTCATTATTTCCCTACAGATTGAAGTTTACAAAACAAATAATTTATACTATTTAGCAAAGTATTAAATTTCAAGCAGCCATTAAAAAAATTTATATCTGTATCAACCGGTGGTCGGAAGTAGCACACTACAAGTAAAGAAACTACTGTAGTCGCTACTTTTTTTCTAGTGTAGTGTGCTACTTTTTTAAAAAAAAGTAGTATTGCGAGTAAGTGCAATACAAACAAAAAAAAACCCAAACAATAGAGATTCCACGAAATTCCTTTTACGTTACTTTAGAAAAGAGACTTAGTTCAAACGACACTCATCTTCGGAATTTGATGGGTACAATTGGTAAGTCCATCAAAGGATGCAATGAAAATGACCCTGTTTACGTAGCTGAGCGTTAACAGAAATTACTAATCACCTTGGTCACACTTTCTGCACACTCGTGAAACATTGATGTAATTTAAAAGTAAGGGAACATATTTTCAATGTAATTAATTTCTTAGTTTAAATTAGAGAGCATTAAACAATTAAAAAAGGCATAAAAAGTTTAAGGTTATTCAAAAAAAATTTCTTTTAATTTAACAACTCATTTAAACATGAATTAACTTAAAATAATCCAAACTTGAGACTGCTTTCCAGACCCAACCATTTGCACAATAATTCCCCTTATATACTGAGGGTCAGAAACTCACATCTGTCAACAAAAAAAAAGGTAGGAATATTTATTTGGAGCGTCTGCTCTTGTAACTTAAAATATCCTTTGCCCTAGCTAAGCAGCATATTCTATGTTGTCTCCTCAAACAAATAAGATTGAGTCCCTGTACGTGAAAATCCGAAAATCTAACCCAAAGTTTAATCAGGATGATTCATTTTTTGCACACAGCACATTGCATAATAGCAAAAGATGAATTAAATCATATCAAAATATTAATTTGCACTAAATTCATATTTTAAATCCTTAACTTTAGCCAAATAAAAAACACAAAAATGAGAACACATAATATTTCAATTGAATTAACTCAAAATAATTAACTAAGATGAACGTACTTTGTAAGGTGAAATATATTTTCCATCAGGTGTAACATCACCAGTTCTACTTAAGAGAGCCTCTCTAGGAATTCTGTAGTTTTGGAATGACATAAACCTGAATAATAAAGAAAGAATTTGACATGGCTATTAGTAAGACAGACCTGTTAATATACATTAACCTGCAAACCCCGCTCACAGAAAATTTGCCACCACCGCAAATTTTTTTTTTTACTGTAACTAAAATTTAAAAAAAATAATTCTCCTTCTCAAAGAAAGTTTTGTCTTTTTTCAAATTCCTGAGGGGAAAAAAAGATTAATTTTTTCCCCCTTCTTCCTACCAATGCAAACACTATTTAAAACTACATTAACATGGTTTAAAATTACACATTGCGATTCATCTTTAAGATCGTGACTCCTACTTTACGATTTTATATAAAATATCACTTTTCGTAACCACTATTATGATTATTAAAAGCCACATTCGTATTCACGGGATTTTAAAATCAAACATGGAAATTCACATTAATGCGATTCTTAAAACAAACCTCAAGATTCACATGATTTTAAATTTAAATGCTGAGGTTCATATTCACGTGATTTAAAAATCACACATTGAGATTCATATTTACAAAACTTATATACATAAATAAAATCTTGCAAAGATATTTTTATGAAAACGTAGATAACATTCTCTGAATAAATGCTTCCTGCATACACTTTTTTTATTGCTCAAATTTGAAGTATCTTTTCAATTATATAAAAAGTGCTTTTGGGTTTTTATTTTCAGTTTTTTTGGTCCTTTAACTCATGCCAGTGATATGATTCAATATAAAGTTAAACAAATTTCATCAAAATGAGGTGGTGAAAAAAGGGTTGAAACTAGTTAAAAGTGTTGATCTATCTATATGTGCAAAAAGTTTTTTTTTAATGAAACTTTGTCTTTGCAGAGTTTTTCATTTTACCTAAGCCTTGAGAAAGGCTTTTATCAATACAGGATAGATAAGAATAAATATTCTAAAAAACTTTATCACTTTCATAAATATTGCAGCTTTTACCCTGGAATAAATATGTTTTTAAAAGAATCGGATTATGAAATACTAGTTAAATGGTACCAGAGTTCAATATAAATATATAGTTGAGTATGAAAAATTTAAGACATCAGGTACTAACTAATATCATTAAACTGTTGTAGAAACTATTTTTGATGCAAAAAGAATGGGGAGAATTAACAAAAATGGTGAAAAGGTCACTAAAATATTTTTGGGTCATGGTGCCCATATTTTCATTAAGAATATGAACTCCCTGGAAGAATGACATTAAAGAAAATAAAAATAAAAATTATGAAGCTAAAAAAGAAATTTACATTGCATAGATCATTCTGTGTTCATAACAAATATTACACTGACATACTTCTACAATAGTCTAATTTATTGACTAACTGCTTTATTTATACACTACTTCATATTTTATAGGCTTAGGTTTTTATACGTACGTATTTAGCAAGAAGCTTTTCAGTGCATAAGCATACAGTGAATTTAATAAATCACATTATGAATTAGATTTTATTAAAAAAAGAAATTTTTTAAATAGAAAAAAATTACCCATTATCTAATCCTTGTAGTCCCAATTTAGGTCCCATATCACCCACAGTTACTCCAGAATAAGGTAAGTGAGTCTTAGGATCTCGAATGGGCACTATAAAAGCATGAAGTCCATGACATTTACCATCAGGCGTATACAGTTGAGCATATAGAGCAGCGTGTGAAGCACTTTGTCCTAAATTTCCAATCCACATTTTTGTTGCCTCTAACCTTGGAGTGTTCAAAACAAATTCCTAGAAAACATAATAAAGCTATACAATGATAGGTTAAAAAATATACTGTAAATCTATCCAAGAGATCACATCTCAGAATCATAGCAGAAATATTATACTCAAGCACAAACCTATTCTTTAAGCATTTTTAGTAATGATAAGTAATGCGATAAGTAGCGTTCTAAGTTTAGTTAGGATTAATATTGTTTCTAATCATGTTAAGAGGAAAAAACAAAAAAACCTTCAATTAATAAGAATGGTAATAATTATGAAGAATTTTAACAGAAAAATCATGGAAATCCTTTAAATTCATATTAGGAAAAAAATTTAAAATGAGCATTGATGAAAAGAAAAACCAGCTTAGTTCACTAAATGGTATTCGTTAGCTTCAGAAAGTTTTTCTGTAATCCTTCTTCATAGATTTGTTCTTTTATTTCCCCAGTCCACATTTCTATTTTTTTAATCCATTAAAGAAACAGTAAAATCATTCATATATTTAGAAACTACAGAAAATTTCCTCATAGCTTGATATCTCATAAATAACAAATAATTCATCATTATCTCCATCGCAGAATTTTATCAGGTTTTCTACAACAAACCTTTTTAGCATTATCTTTCTACAAGATACTTTTAACAAATATACAAGGCAAAGAAAAAAAAAATTCTTTTTACTTCATTATTCTCAAATGAGAATAGAAAAATCCTTAGCATTTATTTCCCCCCACCAATAGGCAAGGAAACATCTTTTGAATATAATTCTGGCAAAACAAAAATCTTTCAAAAATTTCTGCAAAAAAGGAAACCATTTTTTTTAACTTCATTATTCTTAAATGAGAATAGAAAACCAAGAGCATTTCTCTCCCCTCCGTTGGGAAAAAGGAATGTTTTGAATCTTGAAATGAATGTAATTCCAAAGTAAAAAATTCTTTCGAAAATTTCAGCAGAAAAGAATAAGAAAATTAAAAACAATGGATAAATCTCTTTGCAGGAGCTCTGTAATGTTCTGCGATAATGTCGCCCTGGTTTTGCCATGGGGATCATCATCATAATTGGTTAGACAGCCCAATGCCCTCCTCCAAAGATCATAGCATACAATTATTTTTAGGAATTTTACCAGACTTTTCCTTCTACCAAAAAAGTTAAAGTTTCAAGTTGAAATTTTTTTAAATATTTTATTAGTCAATTCAAAAGTTATAACTTTTAACTGGTATAAATGTATAGATTTTTTGAAATCAGTTGCAATTGAAATCAGTTATATATATCAGTCAACCTATATATATCAGTTATATATATCAACAAACCTGCGAAAGTGGATCATATGTAGCAGTTGTCTTCATGCAGCGAGTATTTGTTCCATGAGCCATTTCAGTTAAGGCAAAACAACCGATAGCCTAAAATATAAAAATATTTTTAAAATAATTAATAGCTAATCATTAGTCATTGGTAGAGAGGGGTGTATATCCCCTTCAATAATTAGAAATATCTAAAAGTTTCCCTCAATATTTCAGAGATAAAAAAAAAATGAATTAGTATTGATTTAAATTCCTTAAAGTTTAAAACAAGAAATAAATAAAAATAATTAATCCTTCTGCACATATTTAGCACATTTAAGAATTTTTTATCTATGAAATTTAGAGAACTATTGTAACTGTGTAATTTAAATTCAAGCTCCCTCAAAAATTGGGCTCCTGCAATTTCCATGTTAAAAAAAAATTTAATTTCTTATTAAAGTATTTTAAAAACACATACATTTTTAAATTTTAATTAATTCACTAAGAATGCCTTTATGAGTAGATCCCTTTTCATAGAAGGAACTTCTTTATTTCTATGCCAAAAATTTAAAGAAAGGAAATTTTTGTGCAACTCAATAATATTGCTACTACATTACAAAATATATATTTTAGTATTAAATTTAACAAAGAATATTCAAAAAGGCCTCTTTAATTATTATTAATTTAGAAGGTCTCTATATAAATAAATTAATTTCTACAGATGATAAAATTATGAAATATGTTTGCTTGCATATGGATTTAACATGGTGGTGAACATGCATTTCGAAACTAGATTTTCAAATGTCCTTAAATTTTTCTAATTTTCAAACATTCTTATAAGATTATATTAAACCATTATGAATTTTAATATTCATTTTAAATTATTTTAAAAAAATACAATGACCCATTAGACCATTGTCTAAATTTAAATTCAGATATGTTTAGTTTTTCCTCATATTAAAAAAAATATAACAAAATAATAATACAGAACTTTAATAATATTTTCAAGTTTAGGAGGAGCCTCCTTCGAATTGGCCTACCTTAGGATATAAAGATTTAAGGCTAACTTTTCAAACATGTAAAAGAAAATTTTACTTCATAAATTCTGAACTTAGCTATAAGTAAACGAACATATTTCTCTGCTTTAAAATATTCCTTTTAAGCAAAACCTCTTTCTTTAATACAAACTTGTGAATATAAATGGTCTGAAAAAATTAAAATGTCTGAGTTATCAAAATAAAACAAAAATAAGCTATTATAATTTTTAAACAAAGTAAGTCAGTATAAGTCTAAAATAACTATAATTTTAATAATTTTTAAGGTAAACTGTTTTAATTTACAAATAAATAAGTTGATGCATTAGCCTAATGTTGAACAGTGAAAAACATAGTTTCAAATTAAAACAAAATCATTCCAATTGCAATGATTTATTCCAAAATTAGAAAATGATAAAAGTACAGTTTTTTACCTAAAGAAAGAGAAACAAAATTTAAATTATGAACTAACAGAATAACTTTAATACAATCACAAATAAATATAAGATCAATTTAAACTCTAGATTTAGCAATTTTTGATTAATAATTGTCACTATTTTATTTGAATGATTAAGAATTCTGGAAAAGTTCATCCAAAATAAATTTACTCATAAATAAAAAGTAATAATCAACATCAAAAGTGCTGATTAAATTTTATCACCAAAATAATACATTAAAAGTTAATGATTTGAAAAACATTCCATTATATCCCAAATTGCTAAAAAATAAATAAAATTTTTTAAGGTAACAAATTGAATTTTAGTTTAATGCTTACTTTGAAATTGCTGACATCATTCATTAACTTCACATGTCGTTTTGTTCCAGAAAGCCTCAAAACCATTATGAAATACTAAAAATGAATAATAAATAAGTTACAGAAAATAAACGGCTAAAAATATCAAGAATCAGTCCTTTTTGTTTTCTTTAACTTGTTATGTAAGTTTCATAAGATTTTTTAATAAGGTGTCAATAACAAAATATTGATTTTTCATCAAAGAATTTGAAAAGATTTAATTTCATTAATAAATATTAACACATTATGATATAAACGCAGTAGAGTTAGCTAATCTGCATTTAGATGTGCATTTCACACATCAGATTTTAGTTTTAGCACTAAGAATTTTTACCATAACTGAAAATACTCATCATAAATTTTTATTAAAATCTTAAATTTTTTCCTTTCCATGCTGCTGGAGAAAAATAATCACCAAGAAAATTAATTAACTTAATCATTTATCATAAATGCATTAACATAAGTACAGGGTGACAATGACACTACTACTTTCACCTATCCAAAATATAGAAAATAAATTTTTACTGCTCTAACACTGTCAATGACTAAAGCTGCTTGCATCCCAAAAGAATAAAATAAAAAAAAGACAAGCTTTACTTGTGGATGATCTTTCCAGATTGTACTGTGATGAGCCCTTTTCTTATGCCACAAATGAAGGTACAAACTTTATATAATATGTATAAGGTATGTATTTTATAAAATAATAACAATTGTGACATGAATTTATGAAATGCTGTAAAATTGTGGAAACAAACAAAAAAAATTAAAATATATTTTGTAAATAAGTTATTTTTTAAAATCTTTTTTTAGAAACCTTAGTCATTTAAATAGTGTGAAAAAAAAGTTTAAATATTATGGAATAATGTTTTTCGATTAAATATTCAATCAAGAGCGTTATTTTGGTATAATACAATCTGTGATGAAAAATGATATTAATTTACAAACATAATCACCGGTTAGCTTCCCAATCTATCTTCAAAATATAATAAAGGAGTGTAATATAAAAATAAGGAGCAAATTCCAAAAAATTTAAAAGAGAGTGAAATTGATCTCTAAATTTTTATATTTATATTTAACGTTGAAAGAAATTATGAGTTACAATAAAATACCGAGACAAATTTTACGTGAATGGGACATAAGAAGACTTTTAACAAGTTTTGAAGTACAAGATATATTATCTTATTTCTAATAATCACCTGTTCACTGCTTTATTATTCAATATATATGCATTTTAAATAGAACAAATAGGATTATAGTAAAAAATATTTTATCATTATAAATTACTGGATTAACATAAACTGGTTCATTTAAATACATTTTTTAATAACTGGTTTAATTATAATTAACAAGTAAAATTTAAAATATAGTTAATCAATAAACTTCTCATAAAAATAAATAAAATTGCATAAATAAGAAAATATGCATTGAACCATATCTACACAACCAAGTTTTGTAGATATGCTATTCAGCAACTGTGAAAATCACTTTTTTTAACATGAAAAAAAATATTACAAGTTTTCTGGAAAAGTTTTAAAATTACAAATAATAAATCAAAAACAGTGTCATAACAAGAAAAATTTCCAAAAATATAATTTTTTTTATATAATATATAATTTTCTATTTTTCATGTACTTGGCAGTATTTATCACTAGACAGCAGCTCATTTATATTATTCTAATGTGGAAAATTGATTAAAAAGTAATGAATTCTTTATAATTTTGTATTGTTTTCAATTTATTAAGTTTATAGTTGAGACTCTAGTATGTTATACATTATCAGGGGTCTGTCTAGGTTTTTCTGAGAGGTACCTATTTTGTGAAAATTTAGACATAATTTGTGAAAAATTAAAAATTATAGTAAAAAATCAACACAAAAATATGGATTTATCGTTTCTTAAGGGAAGCAAAAATAAAATTTTAAGAGAAAGTATTTTGTGAAGGTACCGCTAAATGGTAGTAAATTCGGCCTGGACAGACCCCTGATTATCTAAACAAATAATTTGATAGTTGCTAATGATAAAAATCTTTAATGCATGTAATTATCTAAAATTTACTATGAATATTAAATTAAGAAAAGGGATACACAGTAAAAATAAGGGAGATAAGTGGCAAACCCTACCTCTAAACCAAGCAGAAGTTTTAAAGCAAGTGACCAATCTATCATGCCTACACATATGTAGAGATTTAAAGCAATTAACGGATTTTCTCTAAATTCTTCATCAGAAAAGAATTTGTATTCCTTGATGCGTTTCATTCTCTGAAAACAAAGTTTCCTAGCTTCCTGGCGTGTTAATTCAGCTGTGGGTACCTGATGAAAAAGTGGATCGGCTTCTAACGTCTTCCATACTCTGTTCTAAAAAGAAATACAATGAAATTTTATAGATCAAATGTTTTCTTGGTATACTATATATCAGTTTCAGATTTTATAAAACCTATTACCACAATATCTCTACATAACCTAAGATCCAGCATATTATGAAATTGTACATAGCACAAAGCTTTTATGTTTATAATTTTACTAAAATATTAGGTTGCAAACAATAAATGACTCAACAATAATTTTTTTTAGCTACCCATATGATTAAATGTCTATGATTTATAGACCTTATAGATTAAGTGCCTCTTGCCATAGCAGTTTTTTATTACCCCCCTCCCATAATGGAATATTATGTTCTTCTTCTTTTATTTTAACAATATTTTGAGAAGAAAAAATATTTTAAGTCTTCGTAGTCATGCAAGAAATTAAATAGATTACAATCAAGTTTTTAATTTAAAATTGCTATACAAACACACATACCCTCCAACTAGTACAGAATTTGAGCAGTGTAGGAAAGTATTTTCCTTTGTGGTAGCAAAGGTATCTTATTCACATTTCAATAAACTAAAATTAAAGAATTTTCCCCCAACCATACATAAATAATTTAAACAGATATGTTAAAAGTCATATCGGTTCTAAAGTCTTGATATAGGTTTTATATGAAATCAATTTGTTTTAAAAACTTCAGCTTTAATTCGCTACTACAGATAAACATATTTCATACGAAATTCAAATATTGGAAGGCATGAGAATAAATTAAATAAACAAATGTAAAACAATCAATATCTTCAACAATGTGATTAGAGATTTTATTTGTTTCTAAATTTAAGTTTTAAAAATATCAAAGTCATTGCTAAATAAACAATTATATTACCTGAAACTCAATCATATCTCTACCAATGAATAGCAACTTCATTTCTTTCCAATTAAAAGAAGCTTTTGACCTGTAATTATCTAAGGGACCTGGACAGAAATCTTCCAAATGTTCATATTTCATGTTCGGTTTGATGGGTCGTTTTACTTCAGTATTCATTTTGGCTAGAAAATTAGTGTAATAAAAATCAATATACAATTACTATTACTTTAATACTAGTTGAATGCAGCAAATAGGTAAAAATAAATATGTATTATATTACAAATATTATTATTAAAAAAAACAAAGCATAAATAATTTGTGAGTTTGATGCAAAAATAAAAGTACAAAATAAATTATCAGTGTAGTATGAAAGTTTTTGTAAGAGTTTTAAAAAAATTATACAAATTTCAAAATTTTGAAAATTATCTAAAATGAATATACAATTACTTAAATACTAATTGAATGTAGTAAATATGTAAAAATAAATACATATTATGCATTACAAATATTATTATTAAAAAAACAAACCATAAATAAAAATTAGTGAATTTGATACAAAAATGAAGTTACATAGTATGACAGTCTCGTAATATTTTTGAAAAAATTTTCCAAATTTCAAAAGTGCACTAAAATTTGTATAAATATGTCCCAATAAATCCGCACTTTGCATTTCTAATCATTTAAGAAGTGCTGTGACCAGTGCTAAACATACAAAAATTTAAATGTGCTGTTTTCTATTAAATATGTTATTTGACACTTTTAAGACAAGTTTAATCAATACTACCAAAATTAATGTAATGTATTATTCAATATTAAAGAAAAATAGGGACGAATTCCAGCATTCTTGTATGAATTACGTAGAACAATAATTTAAAATGTATAACAGTAAACTTAAATTAACGTGCAGAAAAGTTTCGTTTAAAAAAAATTATGTAAACGTTGTAATTTAGGATACAAATTAAGAAATTATTTTCTTAAAAAAACTTATACTAAACCAAAAAATTAAGTATAACTGAAAAAAAATTACTTTAGAATTGACAAACTTTCCAAAAGAATTCCGTTTTCTTATTTTATGAGAAAGAATAAAATGTTCTCGGAAAATTTTTATAATTTGATACAAAGAAAAAAAAACAAAAAAAGAAGTAAAAAACAATGTAATAAAACTGAGGAAAGGATTAAATTTTTTAGAGTAAATTTAAATTCTTTTCAAGAGTAGAACAGAAAAATAAAAATTTCAGTTCCAACAACTGTTACACAAATCAATCACACTTACTCTTACAAACTTGAAGCTTCCTGTATAAAAAACAAAGTATTTAGATAATCCAAAATTTACAAATTATAATTTATGTAAAAACTCATTCATTTAAAGAGAATAAATTTAAAACTCGCTAAAAACCGGCGAATTTACAAACACATTCCTCTGCTGCCACCCTTATTTTTAATACAATAAAAAAAGCCGACATGGGCGTGTTCAGTGAACGGCACGTGCGCCAGTAGTTAACTCTACGTCACAGACACGTTACCTTATCGATTTTCGTTCATTCATTTTTTATTTATTACTCAATTTGTATAGTCACGTGAAATTCTTTTTTTGTGGCTGTAGAATATATGATAAGAGAAATGAACGTCTCAATCAAACATTGAAATTACGCTGGGCGTGTTGTAGTTTTAAATAGGATTCTTACACATTTCTGTAGGTTCTCTCCCTTTACAAAAATAAAGCTCTTTTTTTCTCTCCAACATTCGATGTTTGATGATGTATTAAATTATTTATAGTCACTATATTTAGAAGTATACACTCATTCACGGTCGTGATCGTCGATCAATGTAAAATATTCATCTTGCAATATTTTTCTGTTCGAGTCATCTTTTCTAAAGATCTTATGCCCCTGGGTCTGCTGAGATTTTTGATACCGTAAAAAATTGACTGGAAAGTTCTCTAATATATACGTTAATAATATCATTCCTAATGTCGAAGATGAAGCTGTTCATATCGGGTTGATTAAAAAGTTCCCGATGTGTCAGATTAACATATTTTAAAATGGCAAGAAGACTGATCTGATGGGTGTTGGTAAATGAAGGTGGAAAAATGTGTGAGAGAGTTGTTGGCCACCGACTGGGATCGAACACGGGTTCTTTGAATGTTGAGTCTGTAGTCGGATGCTCTAATCTTAATGAAAATGGGGGCACACCCCCGAGCAGGGTAAGCAGCAGGGTCTCCGCACACTCCTCCCCCAGTTAACTCTGGAAAGTCTGACTCGTAGTCAGACGCGATCGTATTTCGATAGAGAGCCTACATGGCCGTAAGTGAAGTTGCCATTCTAGTGCAGTTAAGGCTTTGTTTGAGGTTCTGCAAAGATTTTTTGTGGAGATCAAATAGTGTAGTTCAGTCATATGTCGAGGGATGCGTGTTCGTTTTCCATGGTCATCAATGTGGAGGAATGGAGAGAGATGCTCATGACCCTCGGGCAGGGATCAAACCCGGAAATTTTGAGTCCGTAGCTGGATGCTCTAATCTTCATGGAAAAGTGTGAGTTAGAGAGCTTTATATTAGTTGCTGCCACAAACGCTTCAAAAATACTAGATAACTGAAACTTTCATGGCCTTCTGCAATTACATAGAATTTTTGTTTCCTACTAAAAAATAAAAGGCTCTGGTTCAGGTCAAAATTATGATCCGCGGATGAATGGAGAGTAAATGTGTCCTCCCTGTAAAACAGGATGTAACGCATGATATGTATGTTGTCTCCGGCAGTGGCGTACGCAGAATTTTTTCAAGAGGGGTGTTCATAATTTTCTGAAACTACTAAAAGAAATTCGAGTCTGTAATAAAGCACTATTATTTCCCTAATTTAGACAGCTAGACAATTTTGACTTTTTATTTTGACAACATAGTTTGGTTAAATTTTGATTTGATTTTTTAAGTTTAAGAACATAATGTAATATCTTCTGAAAAAATTCCAATGTCATATGGGCGGGAAGTAACACTGTGAGGGCCACTTTCACATTCATCAGATTTTGTTACGCTAGAAACGTTTTCTTCAACGGAAGTATCACATTTCTGTACAGCAGAAAAACTTACATTGATACTAGATGCTGTCACCTCACTAATTTCAGGTCGTGATTTTTTCTCAAAATAATTAAAAATTGTTAAATTCTTACGTTTTGACATCCTAAAGATCCAAGAACAGTAAATATATATATTGGCACAGAAATAAATGCTATGCTCAGGGCCGGTGCGTACGCGGGGACCTAGGCCATTCAAATTTTTGGGGCCCTTCGATTAAGTTGTTTTTCTCGTATATTTTTTATTTCTTCAAATATAAAAGTATTTATATATCTTTTTATTTCAGAAATCATGTTTAAAATTAAAATAAATAATAATAAATTGAATTTTACTTTATATTGTTAAATAAGAACTAAATTTTAATCATAACATTTTGAAAATTTTTTTATATGTATTTAAAATTGATTTTTTTAAAAAAAAGTCATTGTTTTTCTTAATATTTTAAAATTTATTTTCAAACAAATCCATTTTAATGGGGCCCCCTAATCATTTGATATTACATCATCCACTGTACTCCGTTCCCCCTTTTATATAATTTTTCACCGCATCTCCAAAATTCTCGAATTGTCTCAAAGACGACAGAGCGTCTAGGATTCCAGAATCATCGCGTAAAGATCTCGCGAATGACAGCCAGTCTCGAAAACTATACTGGCAGGACAGAAAGGAACCAGTCCGTAACAGTATCACGTGAATTTGGTTTCAAAAGTACAACCCTATTATAGTAAATGTTTTTTCAGTATTCTGAGAAATACCGTGAGAAAAAAAAAGTAGGCATAAGGCAGATAAAAATATATTGTCTTAAAAAATAAAGCTCGCATAATTTCTCCTAAAATTTTTATTTTTTTCATTTTGTCTGAGCTCAAGGGAGGTGTTTAAAAACGAGAAATTCCTAGAGACTGATGAAATAGAAAAAAAAAGCATTTCTTTTAAGAAAATATGAGTAAAAAGGAAAATAAAAGTCATAAAATAAAGTAAATAAAAAATGTGGATAAAGTGAACTTAAATTCTGATCTTTTTTTAACATTTTTAACCGACTTAGTTGCTTTCATTTACATACGTGAGCCTTAAGCAGTGGTCGGAAGCAGTGCTCTACAGGTAGCAAAGGGTTGGGATAGCTTGGTTGGTAGGACGTTGGACTCGTGTTCGTGAGTTCGGAGATAACCCTCATTATAACATTTTCTCTTACCTCAAGGGCATTGGTATCTATGTATCAATCTAGCTTTTAACACACAACCTGAAAGTATAAAATTCACCTAGTTGTTGGCGCGTTATAGCCACAACTGGCTCTTGCGTCGAAAACTTCAAACAAACCAAACCTTACCAAACCAAATTGATCAGAAATATGTCGAAATAGCTCCGAATTTGAAAACCCCATGTATTCGAAATTGAAACAGCATATATTAATTTTTAAAAAAAATGCATTGTCTCAAAATCATTGATGAGAAATATTAACATTAAAACATAGATTAAAACGTGCACTGTCAAGGAATTTTTATGAAGTATTTAAAAAATAGAAGAAGGCAGAACCACTAGAAAAATTTTAAGATCCTCTCAAAAAAATTAAAATCGCTCGCTAAACTCACAGTTAAAGATCAGAAGTAAAACGTGCTGGAAAGAAATATGCATGCAAACATAAGTTATAGAAAATAAAAGAAATATTATATTTCATCATCAATGGTCAACCAAGTAAAGCAGCAGCGGAGTAAGTTTTTAAAAATAAAAAAAATGGGCTTTTCATTTTCACAAAACTGTTGCTTTTCTCCAAACTGACGTTTTGCGCCATTTTCAAAGTAAGCGTAGATAGCGCTAGCTTTAGATAGGCTAAACTTGAACTAACAGTCATGAGTAACAGTTGCCAACTCACAGCAAAATGAAGAATAAAACAGAGAAAAATTTATAGACATACGTAAAAAAAAAAGGGGGGGGGAATAATAAGCAAAAGAATAACAAACAACAGTTTTAAAAAAAATAAAATAAAAAAAGAATGAAATTTTGTTTAAAAAACCGTCAAAACCTTTTTTTTTTAAACTGTTGTTTGTTATTATTTTACTTACTATTCCCCCCCCCTTTTTTTTTTACATATGTCTATAATTTTTCTTTGTTTTATTATATATATATAAATTGTTCTAAAGACAATTACACGAAACACACTCACTTTCACTAAAAAGTAAATTGCGCGTATCCCTGAAGGCACACAAGCTCTCTAACGCAGATTGAATCTTAATTGAATTGAAAAATATCAGTTTGCGACCTCGAAGTTTTTTTCCACTTACAAGAAAACGAGTAATCAAATCAGCATTGCACCTTAAAGCAAAATAGTTCTAATTTATGTAGTAAAGTCAGGAAAAAATATCTTGTTTGTCCCAAAGCCTAAGATTATCAAGGCTATATGTAGACTAAAAATATTTTTATAATAACCCAGGACAAGAAATCAAAAATGTCAACACGTGGAAGATTGGTAAAAAGTACCGTCTCTTTTAAAGGGGTAAAGCAACTCAAGGATTTGGAAAAAAACTATTTTTTATTTTTTCTCTCTTTTAAAGGTGCCTCATAATAAAACCAAGTATAGCCATGATATAACTAAAGGTTCACGTGCAGGAAAAGTATCTAAACATTTTGATTTTGAATTTTCACGCAGCTCACACAAAGTTTGTGATCAAAAAGAAAACTTCATCAAAAAAGCATTTTAATCGAAGCTACATTTTTCAAGTCGACCGGATATATAACTCGAACAAATCTAAAATATATATTTACACTAATTTACCTTCTTTACTGAAGAATAATTATAATCTTTATAATGACCGAATTCAAGAGAATGTCGACTTTCACCTGTGAATGACAGCAATCGTGAATGTCCGAAATATTAGTTATATCCGATTTGATATTAATTTATTCGTTGATGTTATTATATTTATTCGACATTTAAACATCTGCCGAGGATAGATTAGGAGAAACATCAGTGTTCGGAATACCGGTTAAATGCATACTGGACAGTGGCATTTGACCTTAAAAAACATCAGTGTAGGGTATACCGGGCAGCGGCACTTAACTAGTAGTGTATATTTCGGAGATTTACCAAAGCGACTATGTGATTGTCAACATTCACCGGTGGAATCCAACAACCACCCATTTCGCCAACCATGTGTGGGTGGGGGGTCGCATGTGTGGGTATGGGAGGTCTTCTTCTTTTTGAAGTGCTAATACCTAATTATCTTCTGTTGCTCCAGATCCCAGGTATTTAAACTCGGAGACTATATCAAACTCTACTCCATCATTGACCTTTAGTATCAACAAAAAAATAATAGGTAAAAAAAAGAAGAAAAAGGAAAAAGAACAGACAGAGAGAGAGAGAGAGAGCCAGATTTACAAAACGTTATTTCGACTTTTATGAAATA